AAGTAGTCAGCCTGATTATTTATCGGACCGGCCGCGTACCAGAAACTATCGAATATAAATCGCGTCGTCCGGGACACGTCGTCACGCGAACCAGGAGAGTTGCCGTTTCTCTGGATTAGTGAATTTTTCACGAGTGTTCCGTTTTCTATTTTAAACGCGGCTCGCCGAGAAGTTTTTATTCGGGTGGGTGACTGCTCTCACCCACGGCGGTCGTTTTATAGCAACCGAGGGTGCCTTTTTGTGGGAACAGGGTCGAATCAGGGGCTGTTCTAACAGTAGGGATGAACGTATTCGATAATCATCTCAATCGTACTGAAATGCAGAATCGTTAGACCAGCTGGTGCAATATCAGTTCTGTGATTCAATGTTTACTTTTCGAACTGCGCACTTGCAACCACATTTAGCAAAATTTCCTAATGAACATACACTAGCCGTAAAAAAAAACGGGACACTATTTCAAAACGTCATAACTCCGAGAGTTTTCAACCGATCTTCGGGAAACTTCGTGAGGTTTAGTTTTGAAGTGTCCTCTGGGTGTGTGCAATGTTCCATTGACGAGGGTTGATGAGAAAGGGTTAATACACCCCCTCCTAAAGGGGTAATGCAGAAAAACGGCACTTCAGAAGGGTCCAGGGGCGACGGAAGGGGGTGAAAAAATAAAAAAAAACCTTTGAGGCGACTCTGTTTGATGTCCCCTACAAAATGCACCCCTTGAAATCGCTTTTGGACAAACCCACCCTTCGCCCCACCCCTCCCCACCCCCCTAAAATCCACAATTTTTGGACGACAGTCCCGGTTTTGGACTCGATGCATTCTCTGGACTCTCCTGATCCAGGAAATGCTATCACTCATGCCGTCCATACCATAGGCACCCTTTGGAGAGGGGGTGTGGAACAGCTCGCGATTTTTCAACCCCCTTCGTAAGGGAGGACTTCCAGACATCAAACAGCGATGAAATTCACCATGTTTGTTCTCGATACGTTAAGAATGAAAGCCCAACAGATCACGTTTCGAAAACTGCCCCCTGAGCTGAGCAGGGGTGGTCCAAAGTTAGGGGTGGTTCACCCGAAGTGTAAGGGTTGCAACGATGTTTCGTTGCGTGGAACACACGTGGTACAGTCCAAGGCATTGGAGTGAAACAGTTTTGATGTCTTTTCCCCTCGCGAATAGCATTAAAATACGAAAATGTCGTTTTTTTGGAAAACCCACCTCTCGTTTTCAGACCCTTTTGTGGGGTGAACGAGTAACCCCACGTTAACGTCGTTCGCGGATTCGGAAAAAACGTGTATAAACACTACCACACAAAAAAAAAACTAAATACATATTATGAAAGAATTTTGTTGGGACATCCTAGCAGTTCAAATCAAAATAAGACAGGTCTATTTGCAATTTCATCAGAATCGGGTGAAAACGGCTAGTATACGCAGGAAAAAAATAATCACTGGATCTGGGTGCGGGCTCGATAGGGTTGAAACCTCCCCGCCTAGTTCTACGGCAGCCCCGATCGAGTCGTGTTTCATTATCTGCGCGAGGGATTTTAATTAATCAAGCTTTGTCGCGCGCCCTTTGGTAGCTTCGAATTTTATCTCGATTATCACGTCGGGGAATCAGCGCGTGAAGTTCACTTCCTGGTCTGCGGGAGCGTTAACCCTTCCACCGAAGTGTGGCCACCTGTGTCCGTGTACGTGTGCGAGCGTGGGCGTGTGCACGCCAAGCAGAGAGGAAAGTCAGGCTCGCATAGTACTTCATTTTGTTCTAATGGGTGTATCGATTAAACCTGAGGTCCCTCCTATCTCTTGCCGCTTTGCATTAACAATTTCCTGTTCCGTGTGCTTTTTTCTGCTTCACGTAAAACGTTTCATGCTCGAATTTTTGCTGCTCCATATAACAGGCTGCGCGTTATTTGAAATCGAAGATCTCTGGTTACGGATCGATCTCGCTATTGAAACTGTTGGAATATTTACTAAACAGCAACATGTCATTTTAGTACAAAAATAAATTGTAGTGAGAATGAATGTACAACGTTATATCTGTCACTGCAGAATAACGAAAGAGAAAGTTTTCCTTCGTTAGAGAAATAGGATACTTCCTGTAGTTTACTAAAGACTAAACAGATGTGCTAAAACTACGCTGTATACAGCTAGAAATTCTTCCTACGGTTTTTCTTTTAACGTTCATCGGTCAGTCTCGCGCAGCTCCTCGTTGAGAAAAGATCACAGTTTGTTCGTGACAACTTAGTGAATAAAGCTAACGTTATCTATAAATTCAGTATTTTATTATTCACTTATACCCCATTTCCAATAGAAATTAGTTTTTTCAGTTCTTTAATAAAAAGTTCTGTCATCAATATATGGACGGTGTAACGCACAACGTGTTAAATGAAAAATCTATGGTATCCACAATCCTTGGTACCATCCTGGGTATTCTAGGGATAAATCGCATAGCTCACAGGGTGTCCCGATAAACTTCATGCAGCAGCAGTAAGACCAACGTAATTTTGTTTAGAGGGCGGCGAAACATCTGACTCGAGTACGTACGTGCGTGCGTGAGCGCAATTAGACGTTCTTGTGGTCACGAAAACTCGACGCTGGGGGTTCCCCCGACGGTGTCGGCGCCGCGACGCCAGCCTCTCGGCCGCGATATCAAAATTCCGTGCTCAGCACGCGCTGGAATTCTTTATGGCCCCCGCGACGGCGTCACGAGACCACACCCCACGACAACGCGGGCTCGAGGGGTCGTTAAGTATAAAACACGGGCAAAAATGGGGGAAGAAAAAGCGAAGAAAAAAGGGGCGATCGGAAGGGGGCGCGAAAGAAGCACGATCGAACGCCTCGCGAGCGGCTCAACGCGATATCTCCCAATTGATCGACGGTGCAACTTTGGTATATGCTTTCAACTGGGCGAATGAAGTTTGCGAATCAAGGTAAAAAAAAAGGGCTTTGAAATCGATTAATATTTTGTGTATAGAATATAGGATCAAACAGTTTCGAACTTGTCGATACCGATTATAAATACGAATGAATATGTATGTCTAATGTATAAGGATTTAATTAATTTTTTTCTACGTCGAAGAAGATTGGAACATAGTTAATTTAACTTCTTCTTACGTTAAATTTGAAACCCTTTGAAATCTGATTGGTATTTTACTCAAACCGTTTAATATTTATTGATATAGATTATAAATGTATATATGGAAATTCATTGAATATTCGATTGATTCTTGTGTAACATCGAAGAATATAGCGACTCGGTTTATTTATGTTTGTTAGATTTGAGACCCTTTGAAATATTCTTCATATTTTTACAATCAACGAGGAATGTATTTCGATCAAACCATTTCAGACTTGAAAATAAAGATTATGAATGAATTTCGGCAATGTTTCTATGAAATGCGTTAATATTTGTACTCAAATATTATAAAAATGCACGAACAAGTCGTGTTTTATTAAGAAAGAGAAACAGATTTATTCTTCGCTTGAGGGCTGACGTGCAGAAAATTTGAATAAATTACCGATATAATTAAGGCCTAACGAACCCAATAATTCTGATAAGTCTCGATTGAAATTTAATCAACTCGATAATCTTAATACCCTATATAAATTGAGCTTCGAACAATTTAGGATTAAATCATGGAAATACCGTTTTCATTAATTCTGCGATCGTTTTTCTCTACAATCAAGACTATTTTATCTCGGGAACGTGAATGACATCTATATGAAACTAAGGGGTAGTTTTACCCCTTAGGCTTGAATTACTACCATTAAAGGAAATATGTGTCCCATATTTTTCATAAAGTTTCACAGAGGAGGCACTTCGAAGGTGTTCAGTTTTATTTATAACGTTGCAAAATTGTATAACTTGACAATGACGTGTAATGTAACAGTCTCGCATTTATTCGTCCTTCAAATTTATTTAATTTTTGCTTTACATTACTTTGCATTTGCTTACATACGTTTCTTAACAATTCCCTTGCATTCCCATTAAGGGAGGGCGGCGCCGAGGCTAAAACTAGCTACCAGTAGTTATTGATACAAAATTTTGAAACCTTGTACTTTTATACAGTTTCTGATGCTGAATTCAATGGTGTAAACAAAGAAATGTTTAAACAATTTTCTTTTGAATTATTGAAAAACAAAGTTGTTGAAAAAGAAGTCGGATCGATAAATCTATACGCTTGTCTGTTCGTTATTTTTTTACGGAGTATTTAAAAAAAAATCACCGCGATAGCTACATTTTATAATGTGTGCTCATGTATGTCATTAACTAAGTCTATACTTTATTAAAATTAAATTAATAAAATGGAGTAGAGTAGTGGGCATTGAGTAAATTGATGTATTAATTTGTTTAATTATTATACTATATTATATTTATATATACTAGTTATTATACCATAAAGACATGAATGGATTTTTCGATCCGACTTTTTTTTTAAAAATGTAAAAAAAAAATGGTTTAAACGTTATTTTGTTTACACCATTGAATTCAGCGTCGAAAACTATATAAAAGTACCATGTTTCAAAATTTTGTCGGAGTAACTACTGATAGCTAGTTTTGGTCTCGACATCCTCCTTTAAGAATATCAATCCTTTGCACTCGAGGCCTTTTTTCTTGCATCTGCCAACAACTGATGCTTTTTTAGCATTTTATTGCCACGAATGCTAATCTTAGATTGACTTCGACGATGTAGCCCGATTGTCATTTTATCGACACTTGGAATTCCAAAGAAAGTAAACCTGAAGAGACATTATTGCTGGTAGATTTGCTGCGTGAATCCTAGTGATGAGTGAGTCACCTCTCGAGTGCCAAGGGTTAAAGCTTCATTAAGCAACCATAGTCTGTTAGGGCCTACTGGCCCTATCATAGCTCGGGTACCTCGGGATCGTTAAACCCGTGCCGTAGCTACGATCGAAAGTAGCTTTCGATAAAATAAGTAGTCATTGCCGTGATTCAACCAAATTTGCCACAAAATAAAACTTTACCCTTGCGTTTGTTGTTTCAAGAACCGTCGCCGTTATACGACAACAATCACTACCACGAGGAATGCCTAAAATGTAACAGCTGCGGCTTGAATCTCACAGGACCCAATCAGAAACGGGCTAGACGGTGAGTAGAGAGAATCACAGCCATCCTACTTGCATAAGCGTTCGGGCTCCTCGTATTTTTCACCGAACGTCCGTGTAACCGTAATTTTATCCGGCTGCCGCTTTAATTTCCTATTTATGGAGAAAATACTGGCCAACGGTTTCGCAATAAACGTTCGTCTGTTATTCGGCGCACACTGGTTCGTTCCCTTCGCGGTCAGGGAGAAAACGTAACATTTACACTCGCCACGGAATGTATTTTGATAAGTAGAGAAAAAAATCCTTGCTTGCCGAATGTTGGAACCTGGCAAAACAATGATTAACGAACGGCATCGATTGGTTGCTTGAAATCGTGTCTTTCACTATCATCGTAATTAACACTTTCGCTGCGGATGACGCACATGCGCGTTCAACTGAAAATATATGGTTGTTTTTATTATTTTTCAGTTTTCATTTTTTTGTTCGGCAATCATATTATATATAAAATAAGTTACCACAAATATATGATTTTCAAAATAATCATATTAGAACATTTGTAAGAAATTTTTCGTTAAAAGAAATATCATAATTGCAGCTCCCAGCGAACGGCTACTAATTTTCGTCCGCAGCGAAATTGTTAACTCTGCACTGTAAAGCAAGCTGTTATTTATTTTATTATCGAATCTTTGCAGTGCAAAGCAAATTATTATTTATTTGAACGTGGAATCTTTACTTTAGAGCCCATTGCAGAGGTCATTATTAAAATTGAATCTACCGAATTCAAACATAAATAAAGTCTACCAAAATTGGTTTCGACGAAGCAAAGTATCCGTGGCTCGCGAACTCGTCGACCAATAGGAACAGCTGGAGGCTAGTTTCGCGCGAGTCGCGATTCGAGTCGCGTCCCTCTGTGATTTTAATTGGTATCGCGTGGATCCGCGATAATAAAGGATGATAAAGGAGATAAGAGGGTCGTCGTGATCCAATAACGAACGTCGTCGGGACGCCGCCACGGATTCACTTTTTATCGAGCGGCTTCGACTTTCATGAAACTTTCTATACCGCGATAACGTTTATTCGAGTTCGAGATACACCGTTCGCAAACTGAAAAACAAATCCTCCGCTTGCGCCTCATATAAATAATGGTAATTTTAAGTTAAATGTTTGTACTTACAAAATGTTCATTAATGCATTTTACTTTATATTTAACATATTTCATATTTTACTTCGTATTTAACACACATGGTGTTTAAACTTTATATTATGGCAAAGAGCACACGATATGAGTAATAGTAATTTAAACTCCACATTTTTGTAATTGCAATGTGCTTCATTAATGCATCTCAAAAATTCGAAGATAAAATAGGAAGCCCGTCGTATCACATATATTTTATATTTTGTATATAGTAATAGTAATTTAATTTATATAGTAATAGTGATAGTAATTTAAACTCCACATTTTTGTAATTGCAAAGTGCTTCATTAATGCATCTCAAAAATTCGAAGATAAAATAGGAAGCCCATCGTATCACATATATTTTCTATTTTCTATTATTATACATATGTACATGAAAGATTTTCTACAATGCAATATATTCCAATATGTATTAAAAGAATATATACATATTAATGTATCATAGAAAATCTTTTTCCAAGTTGTAAATTCTTTCCAAATGGAGCAATGATTTAAGTATCAATATCGCCTCCTGCATGTAATCGAATATATCAAAGAGAAACTCACCAACATCGATGTTTTTAATTCGCCAGGTTCAAAAACCAAATACTTTGCGATCTACACTTCGCTGACGTGGCGCTGATGGAGTGCTCGGACTTCATGCAGCAGTTGCGCAGCTTCAAACCACAAAGTTTAGGCTGCGCAGTTGCGAGAAGAAAATCATCGACCACCCTGATCTTCCCGCTGCCGCCGCAAGCGTGCTCAGGTAGGATCACTGTCGGGATTTGTGGATCCTTTCACCCCTCGAATCGTCGCGATTCCTTCGTGCTCGAACAGCTGCCGTAGTAGAAGCTTGACTCGCAAACTTTTATCAACGCGCATATGTATGAGCACGAAGCTACAGGTGGTTCCCCCCTGTCTTGGATTACTCGCCTTTACAAACACTGTAGACCAAAAGCCTCGTGTCCTATCAGAAAATGTTGAAACTGTACGATTTAGGAATTGATTTTCTTCGCCTCGATTTCTGAGACGATTCAAAATTAAACTGGCTCGTTTATTTGGCGGGAACGACGATTCATATTTTTATTGATATACTTAGGTATACTTAGGAAGAAAGAGGTTGCGAAGTCAAAATGGTCTCATTCTTAAGAATGACGACTCCATTCGATGTCCTTGTTGAGGAAGAGTACAGACGATTTTATTATTCTGTTGAGAGATTAATGTTTAAAGTGTGTTATTCAATAATGAACAGAAATACAGAGGTAAGTCAATTATCCGATTCCATGGTATGTGTGACTCTTACTCTAGGGGTGTAAAGTTCAGAATTAACAAATTATGTTCATGTTGACTCGAAGGTTTTCCTTATACTTGTTTCAACCTCGAGTTTAAATTTAATTTCTGAACTGAATTAATCTGTAATTTTTATACGAATTAATAATGATTATAATATTAAATCAACGTTCAAAGTTCCTATCCCTTTATTGTGTACGTGTTTACGATTAACAACACATTTACCAGCTACCGCAATTATAACGTGTCTCTCACAGCATTCGGACCCACGTAAATCAAATAACCGTGTTTTGCATTCTCAAGTCGCTTAAGCAATTATACATGTTTTGCTTTGTGGAAGAGCTTCATCGAATAAACATGTTTTCCGCCAGAGTCGCTTAAGCAATTAAACATGTTTTGAAGGCGCAACGTCGAGTAAATAAATATTACATTCCCGAGTCATTCGTGGCTTCAAGCTACAGTTAACGTTGCTGTAAGCTTCAATTTCCGAGCGAGATGTTTTCCAATTTGAATTTTAATTCAAGCGCACGCGTATCTGTAAGCGATCTGTTTTATTCGATGCTTTTTTTTGCCAAGCAGAGACCAAAATGAATGTAAAGCATCTGAAATTAAAATTTAGACAACAAATTGGAGATTTAAAACACCCGAAATTTAAATTTTGGGTGCGGAACACTTGAAGTTCAAACATAAATAAAAAATTGTAGAAGCAAAGCACCTGAAATTCAAATTTAAATAAAAAATTGTAGATGCAGAGCGTCTGACATACAAATTTAAATGAAAAATTACAGGTGTAAAGCGCCTAAAATTCAAATTTAAATAAAAAATTGTAGATGCAAAGCGCCTGAAGTTCAAATTTAATTGAAAAATTACAGATGCAAAGCACCTGAAATTCAAATTTAAATTAAAAAATTGTAGATGCAAAACGGTTGAAACTCAAATTTAAATAAAAAATTATAAATGCAAAGCACTTGAAATTGAAATTCAGACAACAAAGTATAAATTCCAAGCACCTGAAATTCAACTTCAGACATTATTCAGAGCTCCCATCGAATCCCGAATTCGTCTTTCACCGTGGAACTTCACGAATCGCCGATTACCTCGAACAAATTGCAATCTTAGCTCATGATTACCGATCAATCTCACCGTCGATCGATCGATTAACGGCTACTTCCACCGTAATTACCCCATCGATCAAACGTCAAGCACGTGGAAATTGTCCAACTCCGAGACCAGATGACGTCAGAGAGAAGAATGAAGCAGGAGACGACGAGAACAGGCGAGAGCTTAGGCGTCCCCGACGAAGAAGACGGCGATGTCGGACGTGCGAGGTCCTCTTCATTATTTTATTTCGCGATCCTTTGACGCAGCCTACGAGAAGGGGTGGGATCCACGGGAAACTGGAACGCCCCGTATCGACGATCGAATTTACGGACCGCTATAGGCCATTAGACGCGGGGGAGAGGGAGCAGAGATTAGGAGGGGTTGGAAAAAGACGACTCGACAGTCAGGGATGCACCGCGGCCGGTTCACTTTAAGTTCGAATACCAAGCCTGTCTGTAAACAGTTTGGTGTTCCACCTTACAGTGAATCGACCGCCGGTATCGTCGACGAGGCCTGGAGAAACCGAGGGGGTCGAAGGTTGCGATCGATAACGAAGGGTGGCTGTCACGGCGAGGGGTGGCGAGCGAAACGCATTATCGGCGATACGTGCCTAAGTGGACGAAGAGTCGCGTTGCACGCTGAAAGAAAAATCTCGGGGAGACGCTACGCGCCGGGACCACCGTACGACGGCGTTTGGTCCTCTTCAACGCGGATCGGATTCCTCCCTTAATGATTTCGAGCCGGCTGGCACGGTCCCCAGCGGATTCAGTGATTTTTCCACGTGGCCCAAACAAACGCCTCGGAGACGGTTCTTGTTTCAAGGAGAAACGCGATAGAGGAATTCCTGGAGATCGAAGGTTGTCTCTGGGGGAGGGTAGTGGGACCTGGCGAAAGGCCACGATGAATCGAATACGCGCGGAGGGGATCCGAGGACTCGGAAGACACGTGTGATCGTCCAACTTGAAGACTTTCGTACGAATTGCGTCGTAATCTTTTCGATATTTCTAGGACAGGACGTATCTCATTTTTTTCTTTTCAAATATAGTGTCACGTGGTCTCGTCATTTAAGGGTACATTCTAGTGTAAAGTAGCTAAACGGAGAGGCATCTTTGGGAATTATTATCATTATTATTGGGGGTGTCTGGCTCCGGGACAGGGAGCTTTGCATCCCTTTGTTTTGAAAATTTCAAAGAAGATAGGGTAAGTATACTAAAAAGAAAGATAAATACATACATATATGTATTATTACAAAGGTAAATATGTACATTAGGATGTGTCATTTTGCAGCAATATTTCTTGTACAAGTGCTGATTGGGTAACCGATAGTAAACGATAAAATGAAAATTTCCGTCCAAGAAAAAAATTGTTATCTTAATTACAGGCTTGGCTCATATATGTATATAAGACCCTTTGATTACGAAAATCGATCAACTCGATAAAACAAACATTGTTTTTTAAAATTTCTTTTACATTATAGAAAAGAAAAAAAATAATAAATCATGTTGATCTTCATTATTCAGGAAAGTTATTATAAATATAGAAAGTTACGACTATACCAAGTGCTTTGAGACTTAAATATAAAATTTCCCAAAAAGTGGAGTTAATCGATTTGTGCATCTCATACGATATATACGATGATATACATATACGACGACGATCTCCATGATATAAAATGATACGTATATTATATCACAAATAAAAAAAATGATAAAACTTCATTTATTATTGCATAATCTACCTTTTCTTTTAATTTCCCAAAGAAGCCTCCAAATGTACCCTCGAGCCAATAAATTCTCGATGTACTTTTCGCTTCTCACCTCGTCTGCGCCCTGCCAGGATGTCGACGTTCATCCAGGAGGAGGACAATGGTATCCTTTAAAGCGACTTCGTTTGATTTCCGTTGCAGATGAATTCTGTTCAGAGTTCCCGCACAATCTGATGCCGACGCCTGGATACTGGATCGAGTGTTCCAGACAGCAGATTATGTCGGACACGATCTGGGACGAGAGCGAGAGCGGAGAGGCCACGGACCCCGAGCAGGCGGAGGACCAGCCTGAGCCTGCCCCTAGGCGACAGGACAACAACTATTGCTTCTACGAAGAGAACGAGGTGGAGACGGACGAAGTGCCGCGGAAGAAGACCACCATCGAGGAGCAATGGGAGAAGAACCAGGGATTCGAGCTCACCTCCGTCGAGCAGGAGACCTACGAGAAGTATTTCTATCTGAGGGAGCACTGGAACTACTTCACCAACGACGAGGACCTCGGCCCGGTGATACTGAGCATCAAACAGGAAACGTTGAACGGCAGGGATCAATTCAGGATCCTCGTCAGGGCCATCAGCTACACCGTGCATGGCCTCATCCCTGCCAGCTGCGTCTTCGCGGATCGGTACTTGAAAATTTTAGGCTTGAACGTTTATCGAAGATTTTGTTGATTCTGTTACATATTTGTTTAAAATTCTGGGGACAATTCAAAGATAATTCTTATAGATTCATAGTTTTAGGCAATTGCGTTGCAATATTCTCTAGAATTCTAGAAAGTGACAATAGCTTTACTGGAAAACCTCATTTTTCGACTTTCTTAATCAAATAAATTGGAAATTCTACGCTTGAACATTTATCGAAGATTTCGTTGATTCTGTTACATATTTGTTTAAAATTCTGGGAAAAATATCGGGTATAGTGTTAAGGTTCGTAGCGTTTAACGCGTTGATCACCGCCATATATAGGTGACAGTGTTTTTCGCTGAAAAATGAGAAAAATTAATTCTGAAAGCCAAGTGTCGAAGAAAATAATTTCCAACTTGCCTAAACTTGTCCAACTTGTCCAATTTGCCTAAAAGTATGAACCTATAAGAATTGTCTTTGAATTTCCCCTAAAAAACGCTACGATCTTTCGTTCCAACTTCGCATTCTTGACACCTAATCTCCCTTGTCTTCCAGATACAATCGGGAGGAGGTAGTAAGAAGCCTGGGTAAAGAGGTGAACGTGAACCCACCGCTGACGCTGGGTCAGCTGCCAGATACACAAGACGAGTTGCTCAAACTGGATCAGGTATTCATAAAGTCGGAGCTGAAGGTCGGGGTGATGTACGTTCAAGAAGGCCAGTACACCGAGGAGGAGATACTCGACAACAATGAGAACTCGCCGCTCTTCGAGGAGTTCCTGCAGATCCTCGGCGACAAAGTTCGTCTGAAGGGCTTCGACAAGTACAAGGGTGGCCTGGACACTATTCACGACCTGACCGGCTTGTACTCTGTCTACACGAACTGGAGGAGCATCGAGATCATGTTCCACGTGTCCACGTTGCTGCCTTACGAGAAGCACGACCCCCAAAAGGTAAAATTTGAAGCGAGATCGAGGTGCGTTGTGGCGAAATTGAGGGTGCATCGATTCATTAATCGATACAGTTGGAGATTACGAGTTATTGTGTTAAGCGATGGTTGTCGAAGAGTCGATTGGTCGATAGCGTTAACTGGAACAAGAAGAAGGGTTCTTTGGATCTTGTTTTGGTTCTCTTGGGTCTCGTTTTAGGACTTGATTTAAGGGGATACTCTTTTTCTTCTGAGTTAAACAATTTGTTTGCTAATACTCTTGATGCTTTATATAAACGTGTTGAATTTCAAAATAGTTTCAAAGTTAATACGAGAACTTTGAAAGAATCACGAAAATTGCCTCGAAACTGATGAAAGGAAGGGTATCCAATTAATTTAGCACACTTTGAATTTCGATCTTCGAAGCAACTTCCTATTATTTATTTAACGATGCTCCCTCGATCTCTGGTGCCTCGAGTAAGATCCACAAGTGAACATCATTCCCCGTGAAAGAAGACATAAACGGGCCGAAACGCCTAATTCTTAACGACGTATGGGTGTAATGAAACGGATGATTTCGCGTTACGTAGCTCCAAAGAAAGAGACACATCGGCAACGACATAGTGTGCGTCGTGTTCCTAGAAGCTGATAACACTTCATTCAGTCCGGCTTGTATAAAATCGCATTTCCTGCACACGTTCATCTTGGTACGAGTCAGCCCCCGCATCAAAAGGAAAATCACCAGGTACGAGGTGTCCGTCGTAACCAGGGACGAAGTCGGTGCCTACAAGCCCTACCTGTGGGAACAGAACGTCTTCGAGAAAGGTAAACACCAGTTACACAAATTTTCCATTTCCTCTCTCAATTTTTCTTAAGAATTCTCCATAATTATTTCAACTATATCTACTATATCTATATATGTATACATTCAAATTAAATCTACACTGTCAAATTTTCTTCTTTGAACGTCCCTTTATATGTAAAAAAAAAGTTTCAATAACAAAAATTAATTATATTTAGAAATTATATGCATTAGAAAAATACATTAGCTGGACCAGACTCCCCCCTTAAGAATTCTCCATAATTATTTCAAGTATCAAAATATAAATTTTAAGTCTTTAAATAAATGTTCTATTTCGTCTCCCCATTTTTCTAAAAAATTCACCCTAATCATTTCGTCTACCCCTAATGTGCAACAGGTGTCGTTCCCCTTCCTCGCAGTTTTTGATCTTTCCCAATTTAATTAATTCCCATGTGCACAGGGCCCATGTTTCGTGAATGGATCCTAACGAAAATCGTGAACGGAGAGAGGGCGAGCTACTCGGCGCCGAAATTCGCCAGGATGCAGGAAAGAACGAGGAGTCAAATGCTGGAGGACATCGTGGCCAATCTGGCCAATCACGTGGAGACTGGACAAATTCCGAAACCGTACAGGTGAAGCAGTTGAATGTGTAGAAGGGGAAAGAGAAACTATACGTCTACTATGTTCTCGATTGATATACGACTTGGCACAGTGCCAACCATAAGTTTGAGACCATCCCTTCAGCGAGTTAAAAAGAGTTACGATAGAATTATGATGAACACTAAAATAATATCATCGTGGCCACAAAGTATATGATTATTTTTCTTAACAAGTAAAGTTTTTTAAAAAAAAGTATGTACATCAATATTATTTTTGGTAATTACCATCGATCGATTTTCTCAATCGATAGCAGTTATTATTTCTGCTGCAGTTCCCATGAATTTTCAATTTGATTCATACCTGATAAATAATGCCTTTTTTACAAATCGAATCACGATATTAAAATGAGATTATAAATAATGTCATTCGTACGAGAAAAACAAAAGGATATACCTTATCCTTACTGAAACCATTCTACCACCAAAAACATAAAATATGTAATTTCCCATCCGTTCATAAGAAATGGTAAAACCCACGGTGTCTTGCATTCGAGTCCGAAGAAAATATTGAAAATGAATTGCACCGTGTTATTCGAAGTAACTATCCCATTTAAGGGGATGATCTCACACTTATGGCCACCCGTGTATTTCACTTCGTATATTAACGATTCAAATGAATCAACAAAAATAAAATGACCATTTTCAGACGCGGTTCCTGGCGACCGATCGGTCACATGAGGCCAGCTTCACCCCTCCTGGATTCGGTCAGAGACCAATTCGAGGACTACGATCAGCTCGCCAAGGACTTCACCAGGGTGTTCTTGAACAATCAGGAGAACGCCTCGGTGAACGCTAACCTGTTCGACGTATCATTCTTGGTTCCTGGCCAGCAGAAACAGAAAGTCCGTTTCATAGGAGTCAGAGCGATCCTGGCTGTCAGAAGCAGGTGATCATTGGAAGAGCTACCGTTTGGACGCGGGAAGAATGAACTCGAGAGCTACTGAAAGCCTGTTCGCCGTTTCCAGGGTGTTCCAAGAGATGCTGTACGGGATCCAAGCCGGTTTCGGAAGTCCTCAGGTACCGGTAGCGGAACTGCTCGCCAGACCTGCGCCTACCTTGGTCAGCCCGCAGAAACCACGGAGTTCGAACTTCCTTCAAGTTCCTGACATGGAGACCCCAAGGTTCGTGTCTCGATAATCACTTCTTGAAAGATTTTTTATAGCGAGTTTCAAGTTCTAATTACACGAGAATTGCAAGCAGAATATTTTGCGAAATATCGATTCGGTTAAAGTCGTCGTGATGGTTTGGTTTACTTTAGAAAAATTGGAACTCGATCTAACGGGTGAGACTCGATGCCTGCGATGTCGTTGTCGAATGTATTTCTATATTGTGTATTTAATATGTGTGTAATTTTCACGGCACTTCCATGTCTCCTATCCTCACAGCACCGCATGATTATTTCACACTTCCGTTCGACTTTCTCTGAACAACTCGAACGACTCTGCTCGATGCAATCTTGATTCGAGGTTCGTGTTTTTGTGAATGGCATAATTATGTAGCATGCGTAATTTCTTTTCGGGATCGAAACAAAGCACTGCAAGTTCAATGGAGCTCACGAGCCGTCTAAATATTTCTTTATTTCCTTAATGGCTGCTATTTCAATTTCTTGCTCTTTCGGACAAGTTTTGTCCGAATTAAAATTCGAGTATAGGCATGCAACGCGTCAGGGGTGATTCGAAACGAATTCTAACGAAGATTAAATTTGTAGTTTGTAACATACGAGGGGAATTTTAATGAAATCTTGTGTAAATGATTATTGATTTAACGTGAGATGTATGGGTCCTAGTGTATGGTAGCATAAACGATTTAATTATTCTCTTAATTGTTCCATACCATTTGAAAATTCAAGCACGAAACAAAAGTGGATGTTTTTGAGTTGAAAATTTAAACAAATTGGGACGTCCCTTTGTATTTTTTTCAAGTATCGAGATACTTTTGTTTCAGCACCACAGAATAAACAAACGAAGGACGATTGAAATGAAATGATTAATACTGACCTACTTTGGAATTATTGCGAAGAAATGAAAAGAAAAGTGGAAGTTATTAAAACTAGTGAAAATTAAATTTTCTTTCTTGAGTATGTGAATATGTTACGAAACAACTCTTCATGCTTTCCGAAGTTGTAGCTCAATTAACGATACTTCCTAAGTAGAAATAGTTTAGCGAAGTCCAGGGATCTCGTCGGCTAATTTATCGGTCCACCGCGCCCAATCCATCAATTTGGAAACCAATCGTCCTATTGCCTCCGCGCTATTAATACTTAATGAGCTGGGGCACCATCGTGATAGATCGCATTAGGGTTGCCCAGAAAATATTGGCCACTTCAGAAGTTCGATTTGTTGAAAAATAAAATTTATCATAAAGAATATAATATTATGAAAATGGTACATAAAAATAAATTCGATGCTCTTTATGTATTAACATATTTATGTGTACCATTTTTGGTTAAATTAGATCACCCCATAAGTTGATGGCTTTTTGTTCTACTATTTAAATTGGACACAGATGAAGAACTAAACTTAAATGAAAGTATGGTGCTGAAATAAATATGCAGAATTGAAAGACATTTAAAAAATACAAAGTGATATCGACAAATCTTTTCAAAATTTATCAAAGGTCCCCTTGTCAAATTTTATAAATTCGCGACATTGCGAATCAGAGGTGGCGTGCTTTCGTCGTTGTTTACTACTAGTTACTCTATTTCAATTCGTTCAGGCCACTCAAAAATTGACCTCCCATGGCAACACGTCCCTGAAAGCTCCCACTCTGTCCATCAAAAAGAAACGTCCCCTAAAGAAAGCCCCCTCTCCGTACCTTGAGGTGCCGCTCTGCGGTTTCTGTGAGATACTGGCTCTGACCTGTTTAGACCCAAAAGCGTGCCCTCGTCGCCGATGGTGAAGCGCGCGTTCTCGAGGATCGGAACGATCACGGCTGGCTGGAGCAGGAGCATCCGGAAACATGGCGGCGGGAACACCCTGCAGAGCGAGGATCGCAAACGCTGGCTCAGCTCTCAGGATTGCAGTAGTACGTTCGACTCATGCTACAACTGTTAAAACATTTCCCAGCCATTCAACTTACGCAACTCTCATTGTGCCCTGATGTTGACAATTAACAGAAAAAAAAAAAATAAGAAACTAGATGTAATATTATACGTGTATTGAATCATTATATTGGAGACTAAAATAGACATTTTTTCGTAGATAAAGAAGCGAAGGAGAAGGAGAAAGCTGCTCAACAATTAGCTGTCCCGAGGCTCAGCGTCGTGGCAGACGCTCAGAAGGTCGACAGAGCAAAATTGGCACAGACAGAGGTAATAATACTGTATAAGTATATCACTGCAGAAGTAATACTGTAGATGTATACTATAGAAGTACTACTATGGAAGTAATACTGTAAAAGTTACACTGCAGAAGTAATACTATGGAAGTGTACTATAGAAGAAATAATATAGACGTAATACTATAGAATTATACTATAGAAGTATGAGATAGAAGTAATACTATATGAGTATATCAGTATAAGTTACACTGCACAAGTAATATTGTAGAAGAATACTACAGAAGTAACGCTATAAAAGTTACACTGCAGAAGTAACATTGTAGAAGTATACTATAGAAGTAATACTATCAAAGTTACACTGCAGAAGTAATATTGTAGAAGAATACTACAGAAGTAACGCTATAAAAGTTACACTGCAGAAGTAATATTGTAGAAGTATACTATAGAAGTAATACTATAAAAGTTATACTGCAGAAGTAATATTGTAGAAGTAGTACTATGTAAGTATATCATAGAAGTAGTACTGTAGAAGTATACGATAGTAGTAATACTATATGAGTATATCAAAGAAGTTACACTGCAGAAGTAATACTGTAAAAGTATACTATAGAAGTAATACTATAAAAGTATATCATAGAAGTAGTACTATAGAAGTATACGATAGTAGTAATACTATATGAGTATATCAAAGAAGTTACACTGCAGAAGTAATACTGTAAAAGTATACTATAGGAGTAATACTATAAAAGTATATCATAGAAGTTATACTGCAGAAGTAATACTATAAAAGTATACCATAAAAGTTGTACTGCAGAAGTAATACTTTAGAAGTAATACTAAAATAGAAGCTCCTCTTGAAAACAGTTCACTCTTTCCAAACATTCTAGTAGTTAAAATATCAAATCCTTTCTGTATCCTTCCACTTTCTCAATGTATCTTTCTGTTCTCCAGTTCGACATCATCGAGTTCGACCCAGAGACGTTCAGGATCCTGCTCGACTACCTGCACACAGGTTCCTGTTCCCTGACCTGCAGCAACATTCCAGGCCTGATCTGCGCAGCGGAGCACTACGATCTCCCGGACCTCCTTCAGGCGTGTTTCCATCACGCGAAACAGTTTCTGCGCATCGAGATCGTCTGCGTGATGCTCTGCACCCTGGAGAACTACTGTTGGCGTTACACGTCCGCCTCCGAGCTGGTGAACATGATCCTGGCGTTCGTCGAGACCAGGGCGTACCAGCTGTTCCACAATCCCGGCTTCCTGACGTTGAGCGAGTCGATGGTCCAGATGATCATGTGCAGGGGCCTAGAGGTGGACGAGATCAACAAATTCGAGGCGATGCTCAACTGGGCCAAGCACAGGATCAAGACGAAGTCGGCTAAAGTGGACGCAAAGGTCGAGTTCAAGTGCATCATGGAGAGGCTCAGCAGAGACCTCAAGCTCTACAGGATAACGCCCCAAGAGCTTATCAGGGTGAGGATTGGGGACGAGGGAGGAAATTTGGTGACGAGAATTGTAATGATTTTAGGCTTCTAATGCATTGCGAATTAGGGGTAGTATTGGGGTAGTAGGAGGTCATACTCGTTGAAGACTTTATGTACAACTCTGAGTACACGTGTGGACACTCGTCATCCTCAAGAAATAATTGATATACACAGTACAATATCACTATACAATTTTCCCTGGTTAAATTGTATTTTGAACGTGTATTTAGTAATATTAAGGAACTAAATAATTCCTTTCCTCTGCAACAAAAGATAACAGAGGATTAACAGAGTAAATATGTTTCCAGATCGTGTTGCCATCGAAGGCGATCAAGAACGAAAGGATCCTGGACACGCTGATGTACCAAGCGAAATCAGGCATCTACAAGAACGTCGACGCCTGCTTGGAGTCCTATCAAAAGAAGATGCAGAACCAGGAAAGCTTCGACTGCGGAATGTAAACGATGTTCGCGTAAAGTATCCTTTAAAGATCGACAGAGCACCTAGGACTCCGACGCCGCGGTTCACCGAGAAACGAGGACTCAAGATCCAAAATGGAGACCAAACTCAAGTTCGTCTAATATTTTTGGTCCCTCGTGAATTGTTCCGCGACAAAAGCATCCAGCGAGGGGAGGATTCAGTGAGAGGGTGCAACCGCCCTAGAAAACACATCGAGAATCACGATGGATCGAATCAGGGGTTCGAGCCTTGTAACAAGATTCTTCGTCGCTGACCCCTTCGCTAAAACTCGAGACGATCGAAAGCACTGTCAGGGTTTCGACGCTGTTCCTCGAAGAGAAAATCTTGCATCAGGATTCCCTGACCCGTAGACCGACACGAATCGTTCTGCAAGAGACTGGATCCAGGCTACCGAGGGAAATTGTGATCAACTCTTAGAAAATGTCTAGTTCGTAATAGAAGAATGTTTTCGGCGGGAGGACCGTGCTAGGCTCTCTTAGAAATCCGAAGAGAATCGGAGAACACGTTTAGAAGAACGTTCACCTCTGGAATGCAAACGAGCAAGTTTCGTAAGCCATGGTTGTAGAGAAAGTTGCGAAGAAAGCTTCGATTAGGGGAATTTCGTCCGGAGACTGGACTCTCGGCTTCGATTCGTCGGGCAAGAAAAACACCAAGATGGAAAAGTAATGCACAAATTTCATATCGTTCTAAAAATTAAGGGGAGGAAGGGTGAAACGAAATACGGAGATTTCGGTGGGTGGGGTGGGGGGTGTTTAGAGTCGATTAGACGGAGTAAATAATTAGAGAATTGTTCGTCGATCGAACGACGTTGAAAGTAGTGTCTAGCCATTGGGTACCTGCAGGTCGCGGCCATTTTGTCGTGGTTAGGGACGCGAGACCGCGAGATGGATAGAGGGAAAAGATCCGCCAGGGAGAGGCAGGCTTTATCCGAGGCTGGGGAATTTTAACGGCAAACGAGAATGCCGGACATGACAATCTGTATCATAAACAACAACAAGAGAAAAAAAAATTATGAAGAAAGAGAAACGCTAATAATACTTAAACAAACTTAAAAAAAAAATACGGTAAACGTAAAGATGAACTACTTGGTAAGCTTGAATGAAAATTAACTATACACGTGTGCGTGCAAGGGCGACGCTAATAATAACAATAATACTAATAAATAGGTGTAAGAACTAATAATAAACGATATAGTATAAATAACAAAAAATGATGTTGATGTTGAATGTGGAATTTAAAAAAGAAAAAAAAAGAAACGATGAAGAAGGTGAGACAAACTGAACAAAAAAAAGATAATGAAGTATTCGAAGTCTGTTCTGTTTTCTATCGTAGTTTTTGTATCTTCAATACTCTAAGGCAGAAATTCTAAAATTCACGAGAACAGGCTGGAAACGACAAACAAACAAACAAAAAAAAAATAAAAAAAGAAAGAAACTAGAATGCATGGAAGATATTTTCTCTCGACGGGGATTCCTCGTTTTTGGAAGAACGTTAAGGCGGGGAAAACGAGGAGAAGCAAGGAAATTTCGGTTACGATGATTCGAGAAGTATGATTTGATATTTTTTCTATTCGTGGCGAGCGTTGCAACCATTGACGTCGTTCGTGGAATCGGAATCGACGATTGTTCATCGAGAAGAAGTTCATTCTTTTCAACGATAAGGAGGTAGAATGCATGCCACTAAATAAAATTCCAATGATAAGTAGCCATTCAAGCATTCGTTGAGCGCGCAGCTCGTTCCTCCGAGTAATTGTGCTCAATCTCTGGAAAAAGGTTTCGCTTATGGGCAGAAACATATTTTGATATTTTTGTTAAAAAATAATTAGGTGTACGCACAAGTTTTGTAGGATATGTTTAGACAGTGCCAGAAAACAAAAGCGTTGTTGGTGCTGGTACGACTGGTCAACCTGCATTCAAAAAAGTAGACAACAAATCGTAATTTTTTATATAACTTCCTTTCTAGTATGTTCGAAAGTTAGATTTCATTTGATTAATAAAGTATTAATCAAAAAAAGCTACTGGATGCACCTAATATCAATTATCATTGATCTCATAATTATACTATTTATAATATATAATATACAGTTATACTTATTACATCAGTAATAGATAATAATAATTTTAAATAATACTATTCAAATTATGATTATAATTACAAATATTATTGATATAAAAGGGGTGGAGGGTGTAAATCTTTGCAAAGAATACTACGCTCGACGAATGCCTGAGTGGCCATCCTACCCAATGGATATTTTAGTTCATTCGTTCGCAATGCTCACGTTCGAGCTCGACGATTCAGACTGGCCTGGTTCCCGAGTTTCATTGACTTCATTTTCACGAGGAAAACACCGAATAGAAAAAACTAAAAGACGCGATACTCGCCGTGCACACTGAAGTCTGATTTTCGTCCACCTGTCTTTACCCTCTATCACTTTTCACTGTCGCTCGGTTGCTCTAGCCTTCACCTGAAACGACTCGTCTCCCAAGTTCCAAGAAAAAGAGATATTTTTTACACGATCGTCCGTTGGCGATACAACGCGTTTCCGGTACCTCTCTATCGTGTTTGCGTTCGTCGTGTCCCTTTCACCGGAGATGGATAGAACCCAATTCGAATTACAAATTACTAAACTATGGACTTTGTCCATTTACGACAGCAAAATCGCGAACACCGAAAAAATGTATATATGACAAATTCTAGTAATTATTATAACAAAGGAGGCACTTAGGATCAGTGACGAAATATAGCTATACTCAAACAGTTCTTTTTCGAAAACAATTTAATGGAAGACTTGTTTTCTGAGGTTTTTAAATAAACTACTGCAATCCATTTGTATTATAAATGCATAAAATCCACACTTTATAAATGACGAATGAGAATTCTATATGTTAATTTATTCGCAACGTTTGTCCTGAAGAACACTCTATAAATAACACAACCTTCTGTTCCACGAAGTTCGTATTCTTCTGTATCTAAATTTTTATCCAGATAAAAATGACTTCGTAGTGAAAAACGCTGTCCATCTCTGGCGTGGGCGCGACCAGGAGGAAACGCGTCGAACCAACAAGGAAATACAAGTAAACGAGAAAAAATGTAAAAAAATAAAATAAAAAAAAATAAATAAAAATAAAATAAAATAATGAAAAACACTCGCCGATTCCCCGACGCATCGGCGGGGAATCGCCCAACTGTTAAGTGTCTTATTGTTCAGGCAAGCGGCTGGACGAAAGTAGATCTTTTCTCGCGGCGATTCTAGCGAGCGCTGGGAGACATATCGCTTGCGATCGACGCTCGATGGCTAAAACTCCGCGGATCCGGACACGTTTGTGCCTCCGTCAGAGAACAGAGAAACAGAGGGCTATTTGTAATATTTTTACAGAACCTGTAGAAAAACAGCGAGGTACAAATGTGACGCGCGAGCAGACTCGCGAGATAAGAGGAAAAACTAACAAATGAAAACCAAAGTAAATAGGTAAAATAAATATGCAACCGTGTGTGTAGCTGTTAAATCAACTGTAAGCAAAACAAAATGTAAAAAAACGATTTTGTCGTCGTAATGAACGTTTGTAAAGAAATCGTGTTGAACTCCATGGACGATGATCTGTCACGATTTGTCCGGTGCTTGTTGACGGAGACCGATTACCTCGTAATATTATTATCGTTGTTATCGAAATTTTCAAAATAAATCCTCGGGTATATATACTAATAAAAATTGTTTCAAACGTGTGAAAAACGAATTCGTTCGAGAATTTTGGGCTAATATTTTGTCATTCCTGAAGGAGAACGTAAATTAGTCGATTCTTTTATTAATAATTAGAGAACACGAAATAATTCATACGACTAATGGGTAAAATTCTTATATCGTCAAACAAAAGTTCGAATCGGCAAAACGAAATTGTGTTTCAACTAGAATGAGTAAAAATGAAAATTTTGCAAAAGTAACCGTCACGATCATCGAAAACGTGACACGATCAACGTCCAATCTTCTCGTCGCTGTGCTCTCGCGTTGTCGTTCATTCTTCGTAAGTGCGAACAACGGTAGTTTTTCCGCGACACGTGTCCACGATAAACAAAATGTAAACATTCGAGAATATCCCAGGAATTATCATTGAAATATATAATACGAGTGGTCGGATGGACATTCGTGGATCGCGTGCAGCCCGAAATTCTACTAACTCAGTGTGTAAGCGTAGATGTTTAGTGTGTGCTCGAAATGTAATCGATTGATCGCTGTGTATCGATTTATAACGCCCCATCCGGGGGTTCCGAGGAACGCCGGAGAGCTCATTTGTCACAGTTGCTACCTTAGGGCCGCAAATTCGGTACAGGAGCGCCAGCGGGACAAATAAAGGAAGGGAAAGTATTTTGAACAATTAAATTGAAGTTGACAAAAAAAAAGAAAGTCCCAGGATCGGACATTAATCCGAATACCACGGAATAAACGTCAAGAATAAATTCGCAAATCTATCATATATTTAAATAAAATTCTGCTCAGATATCTGAATCAGATTTTTAATCAGGATTTGGATTTAGCTATGTGGATGATACAAGCATTCATTTGAAATATCCAAGCATTACTGCATTTCCTTAAGGTACTGACAATTTTAAATTAAATTTTTTGAATATAAAAATATATAAATTCTGCTGAGATTTCTGAATCAGATTTTTAATCAGGATTTGGATTTAGCTATTTGGTTGATACAAGCATTTATTTGAAATATTCAACCTTGCTTGCATTTCTTAAACTAAATTTTCTAAATATATAAATATATAAGTTTGTGTATCTTCGAATCAGATTTTTCATCAAACTTTGGATCTAGCTATTTAATTAATTCAAGCGTTTACTTAAAATATTCAACCCTTCCTGCATTTCCTCAGAAGGTAGACAATTTTAAACTAAATTTTCCAAATGTATAAATATATAAATTATGTCTCTCTATATATTTCTATAAATTTCAGTTCTATAAATCAAGTCCAGTCCCTTCGATTTAAATTCGGACCACCTGGCGAGCCTGTACTCGAATTCCGTCAATCGCCACGAGAGTCAGTACAAACCAACGCCCTGTGGTTGTCTGCCCCCGCAACGCCCACGTCGCGGTCAGACGCGTGTGCGCTCATGTACAAAAAACGAGTTCTTTTGTCCACGCTCGATGACAAGTACCCTCGCGTTGTTCGATGCAAGACGAGCAGCAAGAAACAAACGAAACGATACCGAAGCACACAGGATTTAGATGAAGAAACGAACCAATCGCGGCTCGCGACACCTCGTACCGATTTAGAGGAACGTAAAAACAAAAACAAAAAAAAAAACAAAAAAAAAGGAACTTTCATCGAACGCGATTCTGTCCAGCCATTGCCGACTACTGTTCAACTGTAAATGTACTCGCACAGAGAGGTATAAACAAATGAAGAGGAAACCTATCTTACGCAAAGAGAAAAGGAATACAGAGAGAATGATTATATATACGATATATATGTACATATATGTGACGTACACACGCGCGCGCACGTAACACGCGTACACGCAGTCCAGAGTTGGGCAGTGATCGATCTAGAATTTATTTTGCTATAATCGCTCTCTAATTGACTGGGGATGTTTATGCATTTCTGACGAGAAATACGCGAAGGTGGCGGGAGGATATGCAAAAAAATATATCGAATATCAACGTTACATTGTTTCGGGAAGAGGAGGCGTAACTTTCTGCAAATTCAATTTGCATAAACATTCGCGAGCTTCCTCGTAAATCAGTCATTTGGAGTTTCTCGATGCCGAATGTTTCGATATTTGGTCCAATGCTCAAAGTGTGATTTTTTAATTACGTTAAGAATTCATGGATCAGTTTGGGAGGATCCAACCGATCCCATCTCGCATATTATGCATCGCATATTCCAGTTCACTAGTTGATAGCTAACAGAGTTGTTAAGTTTCCTGTTTGCTATTTCATTTTATCGTTTATCTATCGCAACCGTGGATTCCACTTTGCCCAACGCTGAGTACACATAACTGTGTGCGAAACTAATGCAACACGGAAGGGCGAGGATTATTATAACGAATACCAGGGAGCCACGTGGGCGGGCTGCGGCGAGTATTGAATATATCGTGGAATTCCGTGTCCCGGAATTCGATTAAAGGCGCGAGGGTTGTGTTTGTAATAACGTAGGACAGAATGCTCGTCGAATATCCTGGCGTGGATATCGATAAGGGATGCACCGTCACGTCACAGAGAATTTTCAACCCTTTGCACTTCGCATCTTCTGGGTGTCTCGTTGGACATATCAATCTCCATTTTTCCAGTTCACCGGGAAAATTAAATTGCATTTTCACCTAAATGATCAATTTGAAATTTTCATTGCGAGGATGATACTTGATCGGAGTATACTCTTTCGTGCCTGTAATGTGAAATAATTACTTTGTGAGAGAATTTAACACACGAAAAGGTTTTCCGAAGACCAACGCAACTTCAAAATTAAATTCAGTACAGGAGAATAATATTTAAAAATATTAGATACGAAGCCTTGTAGTCTAAATAAAATTCAAAAGGGTCGAAGTGCAAAAGGATTAAATACAAATGATATCAATGTAATCATTATCATGCTATGTTAATCACTATCAAGACTCGTTTCCGCGTCTTCGTCGATTTTGGACTCTCATTATCATTGTTGTTACTGTTAATATCTAATACGATCGCTGATCTTGATACACACTCGAGGAACGAAGATTAATCGAGTGCTTGAATATCCTCAACTGCTTGCAGATCTTAAAAATACAATTTGTTGGAAGGAAACGTCGTCCATCCTACGCTATAACTAATATCGAAGCTAATTATTGAACGATCGCTAAGTTGATTAATTAAAGAAAATCACAAACGACGCTCAATTCGATGTTTCACTCGTTAATTTTCCCAGTTACATGAGCCGAGTATCGTCGATGATTTCTGTAATACTCACAATCCATAGGTCCTGTTAGGCTCAGAGTTCTCGGCTAATGTTCACCGAGTGTTTCTCAAGTACCCGGCTACTCGTTGTGTCTGTGGAACACGAATGCAATCAACAGGCGTCGATAGTGATCGCTCTGCATGTATGTGCGTGTGTATGCATGCATAGGCGTTTTTTGGTCTGTGTGCATGGTGGAAAGAAATTCACGAGTTTCATAATCGGTATATTAAGCATTATCGTTGATAAGGTAATACTTAGAGAACCGAGTGGTATTTTAATATGACCGTAAGAGGCTCCGATTAAATTTCGTCATAGTCGATTGTCTACGCCAGTGCTCCTCAAACTCTCACCCTCGAACAACCCTTTCACCCTCGAAAGTAATAGCGCAACAAACAAATAATCCCTTACTATTTTATACATTTAAATAAATCTCGTTCTGCTTACGCTGAAGATAATTAAGGACTCCGAATTTCATTAGATATTTCTATGCAATGTTTAAGAAAGGAAAATCGTTCCATTATCGAATAATATTAAACCCAAAGAATCCACTGAGAATTCACCGAGTCTTTTTATGTTTATTTCTGTGCAATGCTTCGGTGAATACCACGTTTAAATAAAAGAGTACGAACTCGTTCAAAAATTGAATTAAAATTCAGAAAGAAACCGAATACAAAGAGTCGAAATAAAAGAGTATGAACATATTTCTTTAAATCAATTTGAAAATCTTCTGGCGAAATGGTAATTTCCGCTCCGGGAGCTTTGAGGGAAGTTTGAGAAACACTGGTCCACATTACTGTGAACGTTTCGTTGTCGCGTACTCGAACCGGCTTGGCGGCGAGTCAGCAATATCATTCGGATTCCGTCGTAGCCGTGCATTTTGCAAATCTGTCGGGACGTTCCGCTGTGTTCGCATTATTTGTGGATATTCCGTGAAAATATCGGGAACGTTCGAACCGTCGCGACGCGCAACGGATCTGAATAATATTTGCGGTTCTAATTCGTGCTGTCTAGTCGTGCGCGGAGATACGTCGTTTACTCTCCTTCGTCCCTCTGCTGACGCGCGGAAACACCTAGCGAATTTTGTAAATTAGTGGAAAAATTCGAGACTCGCCGTGTCACGCTTGCGTGGTAACGAATACAAGAGCAGATGAAATTATGAACAAAAAGAAATTTATTGTATATGAAGCTACTGTGATGTTACTGTTGAATATAAAAAAAAAATATATATATATATGTATATATATATATACATAAAAGATGCTGTATTTAAAAATCGTCTCGAGGGTTTCTTAATTTATTCCTTCTACACAAAATTGAACTAATTGAACTAATGGAATGGAGAGCACTGTATAAATCGATCATTCATGTATAGCTTCTATTTTTCTGTTCACGATCGAAGCCTGGAGCTCGATCTAACGGTATCGTTCGGCACTATCAAAAATACACACTTTCAGAGAAAAATATCAATTTTATTTCGCAGTTCATAGGTAACTCTTCATTTTGGTTGAACAATCGTGAATCTGGTTGACGGATCAAATTTACATCGAGCGTTTCGAGCCCGATTAAGCACAGCCGTTGATAACAGAACGCCCAAACGAAAGCTCCACATTTGCTTAACGCGACGATAAGTAAATCCGATTACTTTGACGTGTGTTCGTCTCTTTTTTTTTTATTGTTTATTTATTTACTTATTTTCTTTTTGTTTGTTTTTGGTGTCCGTCAACGATATCTCGATCATAATCCGTTTTCGGGTACGTGTACACACGAATTTGAAAAATGGCTAATGCGGTAAAGGTGTGTGCACCGTTGTACGAAACATTTTCGCGCGCACAGCTTCTCTACGTTGTACTAATTTCCATTACGGAAGTGTCAGATTACCTTTTTCTTTGTTATTTTTTTTTTTGTTTTTGTCGAATGTAAAAACGACACGAATCTTTACAGGCTGTTCACTCGAGGTCCGGTATACTATCTTAAGAACTAGATCGCGTTCGTGTTTTGCGTAGAATGATGCGCACATTATAAAATCAGATTTATTTACAATTCTACAAGACCGTAGCTTTCCTTTCAATAAGTTCCTGTACAAATCGTGTTAATCGCAAAGACGTATGCGTAGTTATTAAAAAATTCTAGTCACCATATTAAATCATCGCTTTCTGGCTCTAGTCGTAAGCCAACGTGACGGGGTAATACACTCTCACGCAAAACTCGCTAATCACGGTTTATTCGATGCGTTCGCGTAACCGAGATACGCGTGCTTTCGTGAACTTGTTCTTGTTTCTATTATTTTTTTCTTTTTCTTATTAGACCATTGCAGTTGCATGCAAAGCCCGGCACAGTCTTATTAAAACGTCGACCGGTAACGGTCGAAATATATTATGTACAGCTTTGTACACTCGCTAATCGTACGCAGTCACTTCCAGGGTTCCTGAAAATAATTTCAAGACAAATTAGCATCGTCTTATTGTCAACTTTTAACATCACTTCACCATTTTGCCCTAACACTCCAGTCTTTTGGTGTCCAATGAAGACACTTAGGATCTATTCTGATCTGTCTCTTTTCCATTGCGGCTGCGTGTTGCTCGATAATATCCCTGTGAATAAATACGTTTGTCAGTGAGGTTCTGAGGAAATCCTTTGTTACAGAAAGAAGCTAAATTTCTGCATAAATTCTGCTCGATTCGTTCCCTAACGATGCATTGACTATTTCGCCAATTACCTATTTAACGTCACAATATATTGTCCTTTGTAGTAATTAATGAGATTAAGATTCTGTAGCGTCGATATCACGTCTTCTTTTTTTATCGACGTCAGTTCACATATTTCACTTATCGTAATCTGAGGTTTCTCGTTCTCTACTAATGGCTTTATGTTCAATAAAATGTCCAGTATCGTGTGCGCCCAGTAACTCCGATACGATAGCAATCCCAAATCGGACAAGGGCTTTTCAGGCGAACCTGTTTTACCCTCGAATTTGGATAGCTCGTACGAAAATTCTATTAACAATTTTCCGTATCCTCTTCTTTGATAGGGCGGTAGGGTAAGGATGCATGCTACATTATGATCCTCCGTTGACTCCTTCTCTTTCGAAAAGTAACCAACTATGTGAAACCCTCTACTATCAAAATCTGTCATTACGTAGAACAGAAACGGGTCTGTGTCATAGTAAAGTGTTTTGTGATCCAAGAATAATTTTGCCAGTAGACAAAGATTTTGTGCGTAATTCTTATTCTTTCGGCCGTCAATTTCAAAAAAAGATATCGATCCTTTTCTATAGATTTCGTTGCCAGGAGGGTGACGTAAATTGCACTTTACGAGGTGCCTCTCCAAACACTTTCGACTTTTTCTATACTTTAGGCAAAATTCACAGATATATATACAGGGTAAATTCACCATCTCTTGCGGATACGGACTAAAATACCATGGTCTTATTCTATGCCGACCCAACTCTATCAGTTCGACATTTTTCATTCTTGTAACTATATCGTCGTGATGATGGGCAACCAACGAACCGGTCGGTCTGGGACCAGGTGTTTGAGGCGGACCATCCTGAGAATCCTCGTTCTCGATAAACGCCGACTTTCTTTTCCTAGACATTTTCTTTTGTAACGCAGCCTGTAACACTGCCGAACCGTTGACAGGTTCGTTGCTAAGGCTACTAGGGCTAGGAGGTCTACTAGGCGCTTGCTTTTTCGGGGTTGCCGCCGCATCTGTACCTGGCGTGGTTCCATCTCGGCGGGGGTATTGGACTTTCCTAGTGTCCAAACAATCTTCCGTAACCCACTCATCTAATCGTTTATTGACTAAAATGTTGTACATTTGATTAAATGGTTGCTTATTTCCTAACTCCTAACTCTCAGAGAGATACGCAATATACTTACAATCTACATAGTGAACATAATAACACTTGACACCGTGTAGTACGTCTTTAACACTGATGATTTCAGCAAGAGCTGTGGACGATAAAAGGAAACTTGTGATAAACCCTTGTTATTCCTAGACTTACATACACCTACGCTAAAGACTAACAACACTTGAGACACACCAGAGGAAACTACGCACGCACACTGTCACTGTTCAAACTACCCAAGCATAACCTAAAACTAACTCGACCGAGACTACGTGGATAACGACTACCAAGGATATTGTAACGATCAGATTCTTCGTTTCTGTGACAATCTACTCGAATGGAAACACCGCGCGACCGTAGAGCTTAGATTACTGGTCGAGTTATGTGACTCGATGACACACTTGTCGCTCGATTTTTATGACATAAGATGGTACATTAAATCTCGAGGAAAAAGTCGTGGCATTGCCTGAAGTAAAACAATCGCAAACTGGAGAGTGTTACTTACGCCAATCGTCTGTGCCATGCATTCTAACCGGTAAACGGCAGCCTTCCACCAACGAATTCTGAAAGTGAGGTTAGAATTTGGTTAGAACATCGTTTTCTCGCTGTTTAACTTTTCCTCGGGGAATGTCAACGATGTCATCTTCAGCGTATCGCTCTACTTACCACTGAGTCGCATATTGTTTCGCGTTCGTCGTGTTCCTCGATCATATCAATCACAAATCAAGAAACTTCCCACCAAACACAACCTTGTTTTGAAGCTCTCACGGCACTGACGCGAGCGCCCCAGCACTCGCTGGCGTTTACCACGAACTAGGTTCGAACGCCTTCTCCCGCACAATCGAACGATATCGAAAGACACCGTTCGAGAATCGAAATAAGCACTTTTTCCCGCGGAATTCATTGACAGCGTCGTCAAAGGATGAATCGTTTCTTCGAATGCGTCTGGATGTTGTTCCTCATCGAATATATCATGACAACGACGACAATTACACTCAATTGCGTGTGGTAAGTATATTATTAGCTTGCTGGAGTATTTGTGATATCATTGGAGACAGATTTCGATTAATTGCCATGAAACAATGGGTTGTAGGTGGTATTTCGTGGGAGTTCATAGCTGACCCACGCAATGTACGTGATCTTCGTGAATGTTTCATCGATTTCGTTTCCATCATCGAGCAGAGATCACTGAGTCGTTTGAGTAATCGTTCCTGATGATGAAAAGAGGTTCCTGGGTAATTATGTTTTCAAGTAATTGGATAGAGGTATTTATTATTCTGCTTTTAATTGAATGTTGCTCGTAAATTGAATGTTCACATTTAGGGTTAGACAATTTTGTTTCTGATACCAGAGTACATTTTAATATTCAATAAACACCTTCGAATATTCAATAAGCATAATGTTTTTTATTATAAATAAAGGGTTATATATGCTCTCTTGGGTTGAGATACATATATTATAATATAGGTTATGCTATAGAAATGAGCCAAGATGAGAGAGTAACTAATATGTTTAACAATCACTCTTAGAAGTGTAATTAATTTTAGTTTAATCACTTGTTTATCTTTGAAATAGGTAATAATTTTGTCTGAGGTAAGTTGTGAATTCTGTTTAATTTCCAAGAGGTATCTAAAGAAAGAACTGGAAAATACCATAATGAAAAATTGTTGTTCCAAGTAACAATATTTGAGGTTATAGTATTATCTGTAGGCATATAAAATGAATAATGCATATGTGTAACAACGATTACATTAAAATTATAGGAAAATAATCTTAAATGTTTAATTTACTTGGGAGGAGGGAGAGGGGGCACTTAATTTTTTTTTTTATAAGAAAGAATGGTTCTTTTAAGATGGTTCTTTTAACGTAGTTTAATGAAATTTATTTTATTTTCTCAAACGACAGAATTTTTTAATTTTACCTCGATATTTTTAGAATAACACCTTTAATATCAGAATCTGTAAATAAATAAATATAGAAAAATTGTTGATCACGAAATGTGATGTTATCTGACTGGAATTATTCCTCTCAGCAGGTATTTTCTTGTAGTTAATTAAATGCACAGCTCACAGATGCATAAGGAAACCGAGGCACGAGCTCTGGCTCATGTATGATACGAAATAAAATGGCCTCTTTACTAATAGGGCGGGACGTCGTGCACCGTGCGCGATATAATTAAGTAAGAATAATTCAAAGACACAGTCGGGATGACTAAGGTTACGTGACGTGTCGCGAAAGGTGTTCGCGCTCGCACGCAATTAATTCCGAAACCCATATTATTCCAAAAGATGTGAATTTAATGGTAACGTCGGCTCCGTGTGTATTTCATATAGTTTCCCCGCTGTCGTTTCCCACTTCGTCGTCATGCGTTCCGGGCTTGTAACGCGGAGATATTTTAGTTACCTCCCTCGAGACAATTTTAGGCGACATCTTATTCTACTCCATCTAGTATAAAATAGTAATATCTGTACCTGGACCGTGAGAGTTTCTTTCCGCGTTTTCTCTCTAAAGCACACACTTCGCGGAAAATACTCCCTGCATAGAAATATACTTTCCCTCGGAAGTGACGCGTTTATTCCATTCAATTCCGCGGGAAACGGTCCGGCGTTGAAAGAGTGCAAGAGGGTGTAATTGGTAGGGATGTTTGTTAAAAGATTATCTTGTTACTTATCTCGATATTTTTGGATGCATAAAATATGGGTAGGGGTAATATCACAAATTGTACGGGGAAATATTTAATATTAATATTTATAGTGTTTCATCTGTTTCAATAGAAGTATATTTTTACTTCTATACGATTAATGTATATATAAAGTAACGAGTGATGTGGTTTTTCATTTCTTTATTAAAAGGTTGTCTTGATAGCTATTTCAATATTGTTAATCCATTAAATACGTGTAGATGCAGTATCATAAATTGTATTAGAAATATTTATTATTAACATCGATAGTATTTAACCTAGACATGCATAAGTATGCATGTCTTTATTTTTATACCATCAATGAATTAATACGTTAACGAGTTTATGAGCAACGTGATAAATAGCGTCAGGATAAATTCGCATTATTATTCGACAGATTAGTATCGATTTCTTAGTTACATATTACTTCGAAATTATTTACATCGATAGTATTTAATCTACACGTACATAAGTATGCATGGCTTTATTTTTATACCATCAATGAATTAATACGTTAACGAGTTTATGAGCAACGTGATAAATAGCGTCAGGATAAATTCGCATTATTATTCGACAGATTAGTATCGATTTCTTAGTTGCATAATATTTCGAAATGCGTTAGCCGCGAATAACAATGCTCATTATCGCAAGGACGTGGTGCTATATTGTAGAAATCCAATTCCAATATTATCGCTTGTCGTTTCTCCCTGTCGCGGAAATTAAATTCCCAACATCCCGTGGAAGTAATATTATTTATCAGTATCGAGTTCCTCAAGCGTAACTCCTGTTGAGTATCGAATTATTCGTTTCTCAAAATCGATGGCTATTAATAATAATTTATCAAACAAGACAACTTATTTCCCTTTGATGAATGAAGGTAACAGAACATTTTTCATACCACTAAAAACTATGAAAGCTACGAATATAAACACTCCCTTTCATTTACTTCTAAATTTCGCCGAAAATATATCATAAAGAAGCATACAAAAAAAAGCAACTTTCTCAAGGCTCCAACATCATCCCCCGATATTCGTTCAAGACTCCAACAAATATTGACGGCTAGTAAAAAGTATTTTCCATAATTTTCGCGGATCGAGCCCCTGTAGGAATATTTTCAACCCCACGAATTCACTTATCAACGATGATAAAACCGCTCGACAAACGTTCGCTGCTCCACCCCCGCCCCTCTACCCCGAATATTCTGGCATCGTTTTGCGAAAAGAATAGCAACCCGATGCCGTGCCGTTCACTTTTAGATAACAGCGCGATGCTAAAATTACGACTGGTTCGATCGACCGTGTCGTATCGAGGAGTTCGCCCTGCTGCCATCCACAGTCCTGCGAGCCCCACCCGGTACACACGGTTCCTACGCCTATGTACCATCCCCCTCCTAACCCCCCCGCTGGGATGTATGTACGCGCGAAATCTGCACCCTTACATATGTACGGGCACATAAGTGTACTCACATCGGGCATACATAAGGGTTGATAGTGCTCGGGCGGGCAAGCCACCCTTATATGCAGGGCGTGGCCAGGGTCCACCAATCAGAGGGCGGGGAATCCCCGAAAGACCAAATCGAACCAAGTAAAAATTTCAGCGGTCGCGTCAAACGCCAACGCCGAAGGGGATGAGCGCGGTTGATCCAAGGGGCTTACATTTTCGTTACTTATACTGCGTTTGGGATCTCGCGTGGGTCCAACGACTTTACTTTTTCTCCCTTACGCGGCTCTTTAATTGCATACTCGTGCACCCATGGTATTTAATATTTTCTGTAGACATGTGTAGAAATGCTTAGAAGTGTATTTAATATGTTTAATAATCGCATGTTAGAGATGCGATTAATTCTAGTTTTCTTATTTGTTTTTCTTTGGAATTGGTAATAATTTTGTGTAGTTTGAAGTCAACAGGCGCTGGAAAGTACATTAATGAAGCATTGTTGTTCCAAGTAGCAATATTTAAAGTTATATCATCTATGGGTATATAAACGAATAATGAATATTTATGATTATATTAGTATTATACGAAAGTAATGAATGGTTAATTTATCAGAGCAAAGGTGAAGGGGTTAGTCGAAGAGGGATTGGTACTTTATTTTTTTTTTTATGAGAAGCAATGCGTGGATGGACAGAAAAATTAATAAAGATGTAGTTTAATAACATATTTTTGCAACTTATCCTTTCTTCTTTTCTTAAACGCGATTCTTTAGTTGCGATCGCGTACCTTGCATGCGCGTATTTCGCGCACGGATTGAATGCTGATTTAGGGAAGAGGGAAGAGGGAACTGTAGCTTTATTAATAGTTTTATTAGTTTTTCGGTGTCTTATACGCTCCCAAAGTGTAGACATTTAAATTAGGGACACCCTGTACCATATACAAAAATACGAATTGGAATATTTGTTACCTCGATTTTTTCAAATATCTTTCTACAACTTTTGTAGTTGAATCTTCTTCCTTATCATTCGTTTCTGCCTAAGACAATCAAACGTTTCAAACTTGCAACGTTTGCTGACGATTTGTATATTAGGTTGTCCCGAAAGTTTCTTTTGCGAGTTGCACTCAATTATTTTATGTGGTCGTGTTTATATAAATAGACGATCTAATTTCATAGATATTCATGTTGTAACAGTAATGGAGCAAAATGAATCGTGCACAATTCAGTAATGTAACATAAAACATGAAATATTGTGCATGTATTACTTACTAATAAAGTGAAAGAAACTTTTGGGACAACCTAATACATATGCTGTGATTGCATCCTTTTATTTATTTAGTATTCTTTTAATCTACCGGAAGCAGTTGCCCCGTGGATCGACGCGTTATTAAATAGCAATGCAGACCGCGAAAGAAACTACCCCATTTACGCAAGAGTCGCAAGAAGGGCGAGAGGGTGCTCGGCGGCGCTGCAGGCGCGACGGAGAACGGAAGACAGAGTAGCGGGATCTGCGTTTAATAGCCGTAGTGTTACCTCGGAGGCCTTTCGCCATTAAGAATCCCACAAGACCGTTCTCTCGCGGGCCCTCTCCGCTCTCCTGCCCCGCGTTACCCCTTTCCGCAATTCCGACATATTACACGGTGCCCCAGCAGAGTAGATGTAATAC